GTCTTTGGGGCCTTTCTGGGAGGTCTTGTATTCTGGGGACCTCTTGCCGACTGGCACGTGTCTGGAGGCTTTCTGGGGCCCTCTTGGTAAGTTTCGGAGCCCTTCAGACAGTGAAGAGTGGTGCTTTCGATGTTAGCCCGCTCCATGTGTTGCTGGGTAAGTATGGACAAAATCAGTGCTTGTATCGATATCGATCAGGATGCTAGGAGGAATGACGGTGACGGCGGCGATGAGGGCGGCAATGAATGCGAAGATGATGGTGGCGATGGTGATGGGTGGTTGTATTTAGCATGTTGAGGAAGTCGTTCGGCGGCAACGATAGTGGGGCCGCTTCAAACTCTAAGAAGCCGCGAGGGCCTGCCGGCAAGGGTCGCAGGCTCCTGAGCCGGGGGGGGCTTCACCAAAAGATGCAGCTTCCGCCAGGGAATCCAACGGACACGGGCGGTCTCTGGCGCTGTATATGACGGCTTCCCCCAGGCTTCCCGAAGCTTCTGCGCTTTTTGCTCGTTTCCCAGTGCGCTTGTGTGTGAAGCTGGCACCGATATCTGGATGTTTGCTTGGGACCCCCTCGCCAAGCCGCAGGTCTCTGCACGCCGAAGGTTCTGCCAACTCTCCGCGCGTGGAGCCTCCTCCTCCTCCTCCTCCTCCTCCTCCTCCTCGTGAAATGAGAAGCTTGCCAGAAGGCCGTGCACACCTCCCCCAAAAAGGAAACCTTGACTTTTCTGTTGGGGCTCTCCTGGGCACTCTTGGAGCTGCTTGGGGTCGTCCTGGGCACTCTTGGCCTGCGTCCGAGGCCTCTTTCCGGCCTGTCTGGCCGTCTCGGTGTCCGCTTGGAGGCACCTGGTCGCTGCCTCTCGCAGGCCTTCGATGGCCCAGCGTATTCCCTTTGCGAGACGGCTCCCCGCCAACAGAAGCACATACGAAAGTCCCCACAGTTGCGGATACGAGTGAGGGGGCGGGGGGGATCGTCGGCAGTTCGCGAGGCTCGAAGGCAACTGTGAAAAAAAGACCACGGCAGGCGGCAATTCCTGCACACATTCTACAACGAGCCCGCCGCAGGCGCCGATTTGGTGAGACACTCCGAAACGAGCCCGCCGAAGGCGCTGATTTCTTGTGGTCGAATACGAATTGGTGGGTCCTGGGGCGGGTCGCGGGTGGGTCGCGGGGTGGGTCGTGGGGTGGGTCGCGGGGTGGGTCGCGGGGTGGGTCGCGGGGTGGGTCGCCGGGTGGGTCGGGGCTCGGGTGGGTCGCGGGGTGGATGGGTTGCGGGTGGGTCGCGCGTGTGTCGCGGGATGTGTCGCGGGGTGGGGGTTTGCGGGTGGGACAACGACAACAACAAGCAATACCACACAGCAGCAAACAGCAAACACACAACAGCAATAATCCGAATCGCGGAACCCTACTTCAGCCAAGCACCCAGGTGTAAGGGAAAACCGCTCGGCCCCCTCACCCTGATAAGATCAGAATGATGGGGCCGAGCGGTCATTCTTTGTCCCTGTGTGCGTGGCTGAAGTGAGAATCCGTGGCGAGGATTCTGCCTGTTGCGTTGTTGTTGTGGTTGCTGTTGCTGTTGAGTTCTCATTTCTGAAAAACTATTATTGCTGATCCCCCATCACTGGTGCATGCTGCTTTTCTCAATCAAAGTGTGCCCCTCGACGCTCGCACCATGTTTTTTGACATGCAAGGTCTTGATGCTCAAACTGTGCCCCTGGCCCCAAGGTTACAGCAACAACGGCTCCCGCCTGAGACATCCTCACGATTTAGCCAGGACCCCCGCTCCCGCCTGAGACTTCCTCGCGTTTTATTCAGGAATCGCGCTCTCGCTTAGGACTTCCGGACAATTCAATTAGGAATCGTTCTCTCGGCGTTCTGGAGCCGCGCTCTCGCTGGAGACTTACTTGCAATTTACTTAAGAATAGCGCCCTTGCGTTGGAATTTCCAACAATTTACTCGAGCGCCGCGCTCCCAACACTCAGGCACCCAGGAGTCGCACTCACGCTTCGGACTCCCTCACCGATTATTCAGGAAACGGGATCTCGCTGCCTTTCGTGGCTCCGTTGCAGCCCTTCGTGGCTGCCTCGCTGCCCTTCGTGGCCCCGTTGCAGCCATTAGTGGCCCCCTCGCTGCCCCTCGTGGCCCCGTTGCAGCCCTTCGTGGCCCCATCGCTGCCCTTCGTGGCCACGTTGCGCGCACCCGTTCGTGGCCCCCTCGCTGCCGTTCGTGGCCCCGTTGCAGCCCTTCGTGGCCCCCTCGCTGCCCTTCGTGGCCCCGTACATGTATGCCCTTCGTGGCCCCCGCTCGTTCGCGCCAGTCGTGGCCCCATGTGCATGCCCTTCGTGGCCCCGCTGTCGCCCTTTGTGGCCCCCCTCGCTGCCCTTCGTGGCCCCGTTGCTGCCCTCAGCGGCCCCGTCTTTGCCCTCCGCGGCCCAATATATGTATGCCCTCCGTGGACCCCGCTCATTCGCGCCCGTCGTGGCCCCATGTGCATGCCTTTCGTGGCCCCGCTGTCGCCCTTCGTGGCACCTTCGCTGTCCTACGCGGCCCATTTGCTACTACCCTCAATGGCCCCGTCGTTGCCTTCGGTGGCCCCGCATTCTGTGCCCTTCGTGGCCCCCGCTCGTTCGCGCTCTTCGTGGCACCATACGCATTCCCTTCGTGTCCCCGCTGTCGCCCTTCGTGGCCTACTTCGTGACATTGGTGGCCCCGCTGTCGTTCTCTCCCTCGCTCTTCCTTCGTCCCTCCCCCTCCCTTCCTCCCACTCTCCCTCGTTATCCCCCTCCTTTTTTTGCAGGGCCCGCACCAACTCCAATGGCGGGCGCATGTACGCCCACGAAGGATTGTCCGCCCGTTCAGGTTTGCCCGCCTGTCTAAGCCCGCCGCCCCCCCCGCAAAGAGACATCATCCCCTCAAAGGGGGTGAAAAGGGCGGGTATCGAGGGTGTGGGGAGATCGATTTGAATGACACGCGGGCAAGTAAGAGCGAACAGGCTTAGACTGATTGTTGTTGTAGTTGTAGTTGTAGTTGTAGTTGTTGTTATTGTTAGTGTTAGTGTTAGTGTTATGGTTATTGTTATTGTTGTTGTAGTTGTTGTTGTTGTCGTTGTTGTTGTTGTGGTTGTGGTTGTGGTTGTTGTTGTTGTTGATGTTGCTGTTGCTGTTGCTGTTGTTGTTGTTGTTGTTGTTGTTGTTGTTGTTGTTGTTGTTGTTGAACATTATTAATTCTAAAGAATAATTATTGTTGGGACCCCTGGTGCACGGCCCCCCCGCCGCGCCTAGGCCGCAGCTACATTTTCATCATTTTTTCGCGAAAGCTTCAGAAAAGTGGATGGGGTCCAGATCCGGTTGTTTTGTTGTAATCCGTTTTCCCTTGCAAAAAACACTATAAAATGACATTTCTTGTTCTAATATAATCAAATTTCAAGAATCCCTTGCAAAAAATAAGGTAAAGTGGACATTCGCGCGCGCAAGACGAAATCCTTCCAAAAGCTTAGTGTTCGGAGCGATTTTAACATAAAAACATCAAAAAACCAATGGTTTTTCAACAAAAAAATGTCAAAATCTCATCCCGCGCGCTCTTGCGGATTCGTAGGAAACCCAACACTTTTTAAACATTTCTGTCAAACGGGCTTTTGCGAGCAACTTTTTCGAACTTCTGCGACAACGGTTGCGCACCTGCCAGGGCCATCATCCCTGTCAAATAATACCATGCGGGACACATTCGTTTTTTCTTCGCGCGCGCACGCCGAAATCTCCAAAAACCATTGGGTTCTTAAGAATTTTAGCACCGCGCATCATAAAATCACACGAATCGCACCGTAGGTCCTCGAAAAACACCTGCACGACTTTTCAAAATTTCCACCGCGCGCGCGCTGTGGGTGTGTACCCCACGCCAGTGTAGTAGCCACGGTCGTCCGCACGCCACGAAGTGAAGTGTCCCAACGTCATAGGGCGGGAAGCTGGGTTTGGGTGGTCGCGAAGAGTCGTTTGGATATTTGGTAGAGCTTGTAATGCCCCCCCCACGAAGTGGGGGTATTGCCTGGTGTCGTATGAAAACCCTGGCACTGGGGAGAACACCACGCGTTCGGGTAAAATGATTGTTGTTGTTGTTGTTGTTGTTGTTGTTGTTTGTTGTTTGTTGTTTGTTGTTTGTTGTTTGTTGTTTGTTGTTTGTTGTTTGTTGTTTGTTGTCGTCGTCCCCCCCCGCGACCCACCCCGCGACCCAACCCGCCACACGCCCGCGACACACCCCACGACCCATCCGCGATCCACCCCGCGATCCACCCGCGACCCACCCCGCGACCCATCCGCGACCCACCCCGCGACCCATCCGCGACCCACACGCGACCCACCCGCGACCCACTTGCGACCTACCCGCGGCCCACCCCACGACCCACCCGCGACCCACCCGCGACTCACCCGCGACCCACACGCGACCGATCCACATTGGTTTGAAGAAAAAATGGTGCCTGCGGCGGGCTCGTTGTATAAGTTGTGAAACTTTGGCGCCTGTGGCGGGCTTCTCCAGAGTCGCGCAGACTGCCGACGATCCCCCCTGCCCCCTCACTCTTATCCGCATCTGCGGGGTGCTATGTCATCAAACTTTTCGGGGGTACTGTTGGTGGCTGCTAGGGGCCCTCTTAGGTCATGTCGGGGGCTCTCTGCAGCCATCTGGGCTACTGGGACTGTCGGGGCCCTCTAGGGCCATCTTGGGACACTCTTGGGAGCCTCGCGGGGCCCTCCTGTCTCTCGCCTAGGCTGGCCGAACTGGTTTCGGGCCGTCAGCCTCTGACGCTCTTCTGGAACGCACTGCGCCTGGCAACGCGAGAGAGACTAGGGCGACCGTATGGATTGAACATGCGCGGGGGGTTGGGGGGCGGGGGGAGGCGTGGGGGGGGCAGCTGCTTCGAGACGTTTCCAATGGCTTCCGACCTCTTCAAACATCTCTCGCACGCAGTGGGCGCTGAATCAGTTTATATTTATATATATATATATAGATTATGCTGGCCTCCAACTTCGCGTTTGACACCTCGCGAAGCAACCATAGAGCCTGAGACCACTGATCGGCTTTCTCGCACGTGCTAATGCCAGCGTTGTAACTGATGACGTCTGGCTCCAACTTCGCCTCTCGAATCTCGCTGAGCAGCGACAGTGCCTGCTGCCACTGGCCGCCTATCTCGCACGCGCTGATCGCAACGTTGTAACCGATGACGTCTGGCTCCAACTTCGCGCCACAAATCTCGCCAAGCAGGGACAGCGCCTGCTGCCATTGTCCGCCTTTCACGCACACTCTGATCCCACTGCTGTAAGTGATCACGTTGGGCTCCAATGCCGCCTGACACATTTTGCTGAGCAGCGACAGGGCCTGCTGCCAGTGTCCACCCTTCTCGCAAGCGCTGATCCCAGCGCTGCAACTGATGACGGTGGGCTCCAACTTAGCTTCCCACATACCGGCGAGTAGCGACAGAGCTTGCTGCCATTCCCCGTTTTCCTGACACGCATTGATTCCAGCGTTGTAGCTGACAACGTTGCGCTCCACCTCCACTTCTGACATCCCACTGAGCAGCGACAGTGCGAGTTGCCATTGCTCACCCCTGGCGCAGGCGCTGATCCCAGCGCTGTAGCTCACAACGTCCAGCTCGCACCTCGCGTCCCACATCTCGCCGAGCAAAGACAAAGCTTTTTGCCACTGTCCGCCTTTCTTGCACGCGCTGATTCCAGCGTTGTAGCTGACTCGGGCTGACCTGTGGACTAGGTCCACTTGCGGGATGTGCAGCAAAAAAGGCTCCGCAGGAGGAGTAAGGCTGCGGGGCAGGAAGCGAGGGGCGACGGGAACGGGCTGGGAGCAAGGAGCGAGAAATGGCATCCAGGGCCGAGGAGGAGGGAGGAGCGAGGTGCGAGGAGGGAGAGGCGAGGAGCGCAGAGGGAGGAGGAAGGAGCAACGAGCAAGAGGTGAGACCCCAGGGTCGCAGAGGGGCCTGAGGTACCCCGGGGCCCTCGGGAACGTGTCCAGGGGCTTCCTCGGGGGGCCGAGGCGCCCCCCAGGCCTCTCGGGGGCCCCTGCCAGGCCTTTGGGGCCCGCGGTGGGCGGCGCGGGGGAGTCCGCGGAGCCTCGGGGGGGCTGCCTTGGCGGCCTGCAGGGCCAGCTGGCTGGTCTGGGCCCGGTGCGGCCATGGTGGAGTGGAGCTCCCTTGGCGCCTCTTGATGGTCTTCGACATTCAAAGAGATTCTTTTTTTTTTTCTTTTTTTTTTTTTGTCACATGCAAGAGGCGATCACGGATTCTAAAACATACGAAATGACAGAGAGTGGAGCTCCCTTGGCGCCTCTTGATGAGGGAGCCCACAAAGGACGTACGCGCCCAGCTATGTACATGAACACGGCCCCTCGATTCGCGAGACCGGCCGCGTGATACGAACATTTGTGCAATGCGTGCTCTCGAAAACAGCGTGGATTCATGTACATGTACGTCCTTCTTTCGCTCCTGATTGATGGTCTTCGACATTCAAAGAGATTTTTCTTTTTCTCATGCAAAAGGCGATCGCGTATCTAAACAAATACGAAATGACAGAGAGTGGATCTGCAACCCTAGTGAGAGAAACCTTTGAAGTGGCAAATGACTTACTCGGGTTAGATATTTCACCGTCGTACATAAGGCCGGGCGGGCTGTCTCGGGGTTCTGCGTGGCCGGCACTGGGCCGTAGAAAAAGCGTCTCGGTCGGGGATCTCCTGACCCGGGTCAATCCAGACCCGAGTTAGCAGGAAACCAAAAAACTGAAATGCAGGACAAAAAACTGCAACGCAGGTCTTCGCAAACCCGGGTCAGCCAGAAGGGGTCTTCGCAAGATCCTGCAGGATCCGGTGCCCTTTATTATTATTATTATCATCATTATCATTATTATATATATAAGAAAAAAAGGCACGGTTCTCGCCGAGTTATTTAAGTTCGATTCGGAAGGCGGTCGACCTCTCGGTCGAGAAGTTCTCAACCCGCCTCGGCGCGTCCTCTGCCCTTCTTCACTCGGGAGCGCCCATCCGCCACGCGGGGTGCCAGGTGCACGCGCCGCGGGCAGCGCTCCACTGGGAAGAGGCCGCCGACGCGCCGAAAAGCGAGGGGTGGAGGCGTCAAAGCTCCAAGCACGTGAGAGGGCACGGTGCCTTCGAGCAGTACTGCGCAACCGCGCTTCAAAGGCCTCGGCAGGCGAGGCGTCGCGCCTCAGCCGCCGAGAGTTAAGGGCAGCAAGAAAAACATCAACACATGCAGCGCGCTTCAAACAAGCGTTCACGGAATCAAAGAAGAGGAGAGAGCAGGAGAGGAACCAATGCTGTCTCACATGTCCACAACGGACCTCCAAATCTTCACCCAACCAGGAACGGAATAATCTTTCAAGTTCTGGACACTGAGCATAATGACGAATGGAGTCAAGATCTTCGCTGGCAGAAGGCTGGCAACCAAACAAACAGCTGGCAGCGCACGAGTGAAATCGAGCTGAGGTGCACACTGAACCAGTGATCAATCTGAGCGGTGCTACACCAACGTACATTGAGGACAGAGAACAAACACGACGTATAGCGTTGCAGAAACAGCCAACATGTCCCATGTCTAAGCTGAGATCCAACAGTCGAATGCGACGAAGAATGGTGTGACGAACGGGTTCTGAATGTTGAAGGACTCTAAAGGCAAGGTGAAGCTGATGTTGAAGCTTGGGGGCGCCTGCAGAAAGCTCCAAGGTCAGCCCAAATAACCAAGACCTCGACCTCCTCGCAAATCCCTAGGAAGAATCCTGATTCCATCCCACGTGCCAGCGATACGGAATATGCTCAAGGTCCTCCCGAGTAGCCTCCAAGTCTTCCAAGACGCCATACAGACAACGAGAACGAAGGAAGTAACGAATGTGGGCAGCTCTAGACACGGCCAAGATCTCAACAAACTCCGATCGAAACCCAATCGACTTAAGCTTGACGGCGATATTATATGAAATGGCATTCCTTGGGCCTGCAGTCAGGCGCATCACAGCCTCTCGGAACTGGTGAATGAGAAACTCACTGGGCGGGTACAACTGCAGTCTATACAACAGCTTCGAGACACACATCACACGGAACGCCATCGCACCCTGCGCCGAACTTAGTCCGAGATGGCGAGTTTGGTGAACTCTCTCCAGAAATCCAGGAATGATGTCAGACCTGACGTGCTCGGCCGCCTCAGGGCCAATCGGAAATCCCAGGTAAAAGGCCCAACGTACAACTTGAAGCTGCGAAAACGGGTCGCCATAACTCGCCAGCACGGCACAACGAAGCTCCCTGCTTGTGCTTCCACAAAGCACAATCTGACATTTTTGAAGTTAAGCTTCACATTGGCAATGTGCTGCAACTGCATTGAGGCAGAGGGGCGGATCTAAATCGACAAGGACATTCATCAGCCCAAAGAGGAAGTCATCTGCATACGCAAGAGTGAGGCTGACGTTCACCTCACACCGGTGTCTAAGCCACTTCAGAAGCGGCTCCACCGCAAGCACGAACAAGAACATCGACGCTGGACAGCCCTGTTTCACACCTGACTCGATTGCAATCATTTGGAAACGACGACCTGCGAGAGTGACGATGGCACGATTCGAGGTGTACATCATACGGAAAAACTTCGTAACAACCGATGGGATGTGCATCTGCTCTAAGACAAAGAATAACCAACTCTGCGCGAGGCTAGGGAAGGCAGAAGCAAAATCCGTAAGCAGCAGGGCAGCGCGCGGATCGTCTCGTAGGTGTCTGCAGAGACCCAAAGCTTCAGCACGGACCACATTCTCAATCATATCCCTCCCTCCAATACATTTCTGTTCCCTCCCAATCGCACCCTCCGAAGCCGAGATCACGGGGCAAATGAACGCAGCCGCCGAGATCTTCGCATCAGTATTGCTCATACTCAGTGGGCGTGTCGCCATGGGCGTCCTCGAGAGAGCGCATCCTGGGCGATCCTGAGGGTCCGAGCCCTTCGGAAGAAAAACAAGCAGGCTCAACTTCAAATCATCTGGGAGGGAGTGGATGTCGTTCGTGAAGAGGGAGAGGTAACAAGAGTGCACAATCCTCGACGCGTCAGGGCACTTCCAGACTGCGTGCGGAATGCCATCGGGACCTGGCATGCTATGCGGGCGCTTGCGTATCATCTCAAACCATACTGGGTAATCGAGTTGCCACTGAGTATCCAGAGGAGAGTCGATCTGCGAAATAAGCTGGCGAACATCATCCCAAAGAGCAGAATCCACCGCAGGCCCCCGAAACACTCCAGCCCAGAAATCACCCAAAGCCACCGCGGAAGACTCCAAAGAGGAACGCGGAACACCACTCTCATCAGTAACCGATCCCAACACAGCACGGCGACAAAACTTTTTCGACGACGAAGTCTAGCAGCCTGGGCACGTTTAACCTCGGGCTCGGCGTTCGAGTTCGAGATCTCCTGCTCCTCATCCTGAAGGATACGGGTGTATAGGGAGAAGATATGTTGTGTAAGACCATGGGGGTGAATACATTGAAGGTCGGAGTCAAAGTGAACTTGCAATCGAGCGTGACGCATGAGAGCCGAGCGCAACTTCCTCTTATCACCTGAGGTCCACGCTCTCAGTGCCGTCAGTGCCCAAACGTGCCGCTCCTGCAGCGTTCGGGCGGGGCGAGAGAAAACGGCGGCACGAGCGCGACGGCCTGCGGTAAAGACCAATTCTTTCGTGCTCTCCAACCTCCCCCACACCTCCCATGACTTAGGGATCTCCGATCTGAGTTCCTGCAAGGCCTCACTGAATCCAGGCAACCCAGCAGTCCACGGAGGGATTGTGGGTTGACTGGGGTCAGGTCGGTATCTCTCCATCAAGGCCTTCATGGGTATGTGATCACTGGGCATATGAGATCGCAAAGCTCCCACCGTGCTGACCGTCGCCGTGAGATCGCGCAACGCAGCCGGCGGCAGCGAAGAGTACACACGGTCAAGACGAGCAGTCTGAGACGCAGCCATACCACGCCTCCCTCTCCTCGTATCCTGATCCTGATAAAGCTCGGTGAAGCAGGCAAAGAACTTAAATAACAGTTTAGAGTGACGGACATCTGCTGCCGACCATCCACTGCCATCTCCAGACATTCTCCCTTCCCCTTCTACCGCAAAGTTCCAATCCCCCATCATGACAACGCGGGCAGGTACACTCGCACCGCCAGGCAAATACTGAAGCACATCCTCATGCAGGCACTGTAAGACAGTAGAGAAGACGGAGAAAGAGTCGGAGGTGTTGGGGAGATGAAGGTTGTAGATCGCCAGGTTCCCGAACGGCCCCACGCATGCGCTTTTCAGGATCCTTCCCGCGATCACAGAGGTATGAGTAATAGACGTGAACAAAGCAACAAAGGAGGAAGAGAAGACCGTAAGCACACCACCTTCGGCAGTTGAATCTGGGAAAAAAAGATGCGGCACACCGATGTTGATCAAGCTCTCTGGAAAGCTCGGCACGGCCCCCCTCGATGTCCGTGCGTTTCTTGTGCTGTTACTATGTGATAGCTGCTGCGCAACTTTAAGAACTGTTTGAATCGCGCCGAAGCTTTCCACGACGAAGAGCGGACGGATGCGAAGAGCGCCTCCGTGTTCCACGCACACATGGATCGCGGATCGGGGGGGGGGGGGGGGGGGGAGAGGAGGGGAAGAAGGAGAGCAGGGCACCTGGCTGTAAACGCAGTCGGCCTCAGCGCGAAAAGGGGGAG